CTGTCTTCCCTGTCCCACCACCGCTCCCCTGGCTCGGAGCCTCCCTCTTCTGAGACTTCTCTAGAGAGTTCTCCTGGTGAGTCTGTGAGGGGAAATAAACATTTTTAAAGAGAACAGCCTTCCAAGTCTGGTTTACGTCCTGAGAGGCGTTCCTCTCGTTATCCTTCAAAAATATGATACATAGATAGCTTTCCCTGATGCAAGGTTCTCATAAGGAAGCTGCACATTTTTCTATCGGTGTCAAGATTTTCGGACACCCTCCATTTTATGAAACAGCATCACAGGCATTCAGTTAAAGTGTGATTTGTTTTCTGAAACTGCCTGTAGTCCTGCAGGTGATTTTTGAGCATTTTTTTTTTAAAAAAATAGTATTTATTAAGGTTTTAAGTTTACAAAAAAGCAAAAGAAAAAGCACCAAATTAAACAATAGCAAAACAACACCTCACAATAAAAAAACCAGAAAAATAGAAACAATTAAAAACAAAAACAAAACAAATCGAACCTTCCCATAACTTATCTTTCATTTGCTTGTTTCCCTGACCACCTCACACCCCCTTTTTTGTATTCTAAGTCAATTATCCATTTCAGCAAATCCTTTCCCTCTCTTCAAAATTTTTATCCTGAAAATTTATCTTGATCTTAATATAAGTTTACTTTCCCTCTTTTCACCAATTAACAGTCTATTTTTCTTAAATCTTTGTTACATTTTTGCTAAAATCACATAGATTCATTCCAACATCAATCTAACATTCATTAATTTTACAATGTTTCTGTAAATAGTCTTTAAATTTCTTTCATATTTTCCCCCTATAATAATTTTTATTAGTTTTCAATTACAATAATCCAATAGTAGCCTCATTATATCAATGCCAAATTACAATACAATTCCCAACATCAACCATTCAAGTACGAAATCACATAATTTAGGTACTACCCCCGTGTGCTAGAATTGATGGTTTGATGATTTATTTTATTTCTGCGTTCCAAAATCATCTTGATTTCAATTACATTCCAGTCATAATAGCCATCCCTTATACAACAGCTGCAACATTTATAACTTCTATTCATATTGACACATTTAATGATTTATTAGTCTACAAGTGAAGATCTCGTACATCCTTGTTCTGCCTGTTCTGTGACATTTATTCTGTCCATGTTGTTTCTTCTTGTAAAATATTATGTCTATCTTTACCAGCTGCTGCTGCTGTCCGTCATGCCTTGCACGGAGCTGATATCCTAGTGTTATTCCAAAAGTTTTTTTTCCTTTTTTTCTTTTCCTTTTTAGTTAAAATGATATTTATTAAAATTTAACACTTACAGAAAAAAGAAAAACAAACAATAAAAAGTTACAATACTTCAAAAATAAAAAATACAATAAAAAACCAGAATACAGCAAAACAATACAAAAGAAAAAAAACAAAAACATTTAAAACAAAAACCCATCCAGTATTTTCATATCTTTATCTTTCATTTACTTGTTTCCTTGACTTCCTCACACCTCCCTTTTTTGTATTCTGTTAGTTGTTTCAGCAAGTCCTTTCCCTCATTCTTAAATTTTGTTCCATAATTTAACGCAATTTAACCTTAAATTTTACACTTTGACCCGTTAACGATCTATTTTTACTTAGTTCTTTATAACATTTCTGCTAAAGCCATATAACTTCTTTCCAGCATCCTTCTAACATTCATTTATTTTACAATATTTCTGTAAATATACTTTAAATTTTTCCCAATCTTCTTCCACCGACTCTTCTCCCTGGTCTCGGATTCTGCCAGTTCCATTGTAGTTCCATGTTCCATTTCCGCCAGTTCCATGTAGTTCCATGTAGCTTCATCTGCCATTCTTCCCTGGTGGGTAGATCTTGTGTCTTCCAGTGCTTTGCGATAAGTATTCTTGCTGCTGTTGTAGCATACATGAAAAAAGTTCTATCCTTCTTTGGCACCAATTGGCCGACCATGCCCAGGAGAAAGGCCTCTGGTTTCTTCAGAAAGGTATATTTAAATACCTTTTTCATTTCATTATAGATCATCTCTCAGAATGTCTTAATCTTTGGGCATGTCCACCAAAGGTGAAAAAATGTACCTTCAGTTTTATTCCAAAAGTTTCTCCCTCAAGCATTTCTTATTCTAGTATGTCTGAAAGCACACTGCTGAAGATATTCATACTGCAGGCGACACCACGGATACCACCCACTGGAGGTGTGAAACCCAGCAAGCATGACCAATGGCCAGGGATGATGGGAGTTGTAGTTCAATGACACCTGGAGAGCCAAAGCTCTCCCCCCCCCTTACCATAGTACACTGGTACCTCGGTTTACGAACTTAATCCATTCCACAAGTCCATTCTTAAACCGAAACCGTTCTTAAACTGAGGCACGCTTTCCCTCCCGCCGCCGGTGCCCTTCCACCGTTCGGATTCCATTCTTAGACCAAGGCAAAGTTCTCAAACCGGGACACTATTTCCAGTTTTGCGGAGTTCATAAACCGAATCGTTCGTAAACAGGGCTGTTCTTAAACCGAGGTACTGCTGCAGTGGCTTTCACAAAGTGGTTTTAATCTTCCTAATTTGCATGTCTGCCACAGCATATATTTAATGATGCAAACAGAAGCCGATTATGTCATCCTCAGGTGACTGGACAGCAGCCTGAGCTGCAATCTCCAAGTTTCGGAAGACCTCTGATCTCTATGGGGATTCCAAGACTTGGCAAATTGCCCTTCTTGGAAAAAAAATATATCCCATAACCTAAAAGTGTCCAGTACTTCTTTGCCGTGCCTCTAGCCCAGCAGCTCAGCAGCATCACACCCCAAAGGTCTACATGAGAGTCTGGATTCAGTACAGTTCAACATTAGTCTTCATCTTCTTTTCGTGTTTTAATTCAGACCACAGAACCCTTTGCAGCCATAGAGCAGACATCCTTTTCCTCCCAGTGTGTTTTGTTACTAACTCTGTAAACCCCATAGCTGTATCCTATGCTTCCTTACTGTTAGGCGGGGAGCCTGTCCCAGCCCTAGCTGGAGATGGAATCTGGGACAATGCCCAGGGCTATTTTTCTAGAAAAAGAGGTGCCGGAACTCAGCAATCTGCCTCTCCCTCCCTCACCCCCGTGTCTGAATGATGATGGTAGAATCCTGCATTTGGTGGGGATGGGGAGAAGGAAAAAAAGGAGGAGAGAGAGAAGTGAAGAGGAATAAATTGAAATATTGAAATTGAAATACTTTATTGTCCTTTTGTAGAACTAGTATACAGTGGCACCTCGGGTTACATACGCTTCAGGTTACATATGCTTCAGGTTACAGACTCCACTAACCCAGAAATAGTACCTCGGGTTAAGAACTTTGTTTCAGGATGAGAACAGAAATCGTGCTCCGGCGGCAGTAGGAGGCCCCATTAGCTAAAGTGGTGCTTCAGGTTAAGAACAGTTTCAGGATAAGAACGGACCTCTGGAACAAATTAAGTACTTAACCCGAGGTACCACTGTACAGTGAGATTACAGGAGCACCCCCCACTCAGCTCTCTTAGTCTTAATTCCCCTCATTTACTGACGCACACCCACCAAACCTGAAAGTCATTTACACATCATCGTAAATGAGGGATAAACAATAAAAAAGAGAAGCATAGTTGTCCTACACCAGGAGGGAGGGATTCTGTGGCACTCCAGGTGTTCCTGGACTGCAAGCATCAGTCTTACCTGGAGTCTGACAACATCTGAAGGGCAAGATGTAGAATGCAGAATTGGGCAGTGGGAAGCTGCACCTTTAGATTTTTGTTGGGGGTGTGTGTGAAATAAACTAACAACAAAACCCAGTGAGTTCTGTGGACCCTCAAGGTCTTTGACCCTGGAGGTTGTCTACACTCAGCCATCCAGACTAGGAGCCCTGCCTGTTGCATGTTCCTCCTATGGTTTCACTTGCCAAAATCATGGAACGCGTCCAAATGTCTTGCTAAAGTACAACCAGTAGAATGGCTTGATGAAATGAGAACAAGAGGACCGCTCTATTCTGGCTTGGTCGGACCACAACTGGAATACTGTGTCCACTTCTCTGGGAACCACAGTTTAAGAAAGATGTTGACAAGCTGGAACTGACGCAGAGGAAACCAAGCCGTATGAGGAATGGTTGAAGGAGCTGGGTATGTTTAGCCTGGCAAAAAGGGACTGAGAGGAGAGATGATAGGACCCCTGACCATTAGGTCCAGTCGTGACCGACTCTGGGGTTGCGACGCTCATCTCGCTTTATTGGCCGAGGGTGCCGGCGTACAGCTTCCGGGTCATGTGGCCAGCATGACTAAGCCGCTTCTGGCGAACCCAAACAGTGCACCGAAACGCCATTTACCTTCCCGCCAGAGCGGTACCTATTTATCTACTTGGACTTGACGTGCTTTCGAACTGCTAGGTTGGCAGGAGCAGGGACCGAGCAATGGGAGCTCACCCCGTCATGGGGATTCGAACCGCTGACCTTCTGATCGGCAAGTCCTAGGCTTTGTGGTTTAACCCACAGCGCCACCTGTGTCCCTCCCATAATAGCCATCTTCAAATATCTCAAGGGCTGTCACCTGGAAGAGGGAGCAAGTTTGCTTTATCCTGCTCTGGAGGGTAGGACTGGAAACAATGGCTTCAAGTTATAAGAAAGGAGATTCTGTATAAACATCAGGAAGAACTTTCTGACAATAAGCTGTTCAGCAGTGGAAGGGTCTCCCTCAGAAGATGGTGGGTTCTCCATGGAGGTTTTTAAGCAGAGGTTGGATGGTCCTCTGCCTTGGACGGGGTGCCAACTTGAATAAAATATGGGGGGGGAGCAGGTAAGCCCCGCTCGCGTAATCGATTACATGATGCTGTGCACACACACCATTTGAATAACAATGCCCAGCAACTTGGGACATTCCCGCCGCCCTCCGGCTCCGCCTCGTGGGCCGCCCCGTCGGACACGTGCAGGGCTGGCTGTGGGCGGGCGGGGAGAGGATATGGGTCCAGGCCGAGCCGGCGGCGGGAGGAGGCGGCAGTGCCAGCCACGTCGCTCGCGGCCAGCAGGAGCTGCAGCAGCGCCTCGACGGGACGCACGGCGGAACGCGCCAGCCACTTGCCTCGACGCCTTCCCCGCGATCGCTGCTTGATGGGCCCGGCGGGGCGACGCCCGGCGCTGCTGCTGCTGTGCTTGCTGCTCCTGCTGCGGACGGGTGAGTGGGCAGGAAAGCCGACGGGCTCCGGTGCTCCCTGGGCACATGCCCGCCTCGGGCGCCGGCAGATGCGCTGAGCGCCTTGGCTGAAGGCGCGCAACCAAAGCCTCCAGGCTTTGCAGAGGCGCTCTCGGGCGCCCCGTCGGCTCCCAGGGCGATGCAGCCCGGCTCTCGGTCGGAATAGGTCCTTGGTGCAATCTTGGGTATAGGGAGCCCCCCACCCGGTCTGGAGCCCCGGAGAGCAGCTGCCTTTCGGTGTGCGTAAGACGGAGCTTGACGCACCGAAGCCCCTATCTGCTAGAAGGCAGCTCCCACTCTCCCCATTTAATTCAGAACTAAGATCTGGGATCTTGACACTCACCTGTCACCATCCTCTGTCTGGCTCCGCCCAGCAGATTCGGAATGAAATGTCTCCACCACAGTTGTTGTTTCAAATTACTTTCTTTTGACTCCCAAGGGCTCAGGGGGGAAAATATCTGTCAAAATCTTCAGTCATTTGGAAACTAGGAAGTTAAATTATAATAATAAAAAACATGGGGAGTACCTTTCATGCGGTTATATTTTGCAAAATTACAAAGGACACTCCTTCTTTAAATCTCGTTTTCTTTAAAAAATCCAAACTGAAACAAGTTTTCTTGGGTTTGCTGAACACCTTTTCAGCACTTCCTTCTCAAACTGTCCTTGTCAAACTATCTCCACCACAGCTTTTGTTTCAAATTACTTTCTCTTGACCCCCAAGGGCTCAGGAAAAAATATATATGTCAAAATCTTCAGTCATTTGGAAACTAGGAAGTTTAATAATAATAATAATAAAAATACCATCGGGGAGTACATTTCATGCGGTTATATTTTGCAAAATTACAAAGAACACAACTTCTTTAAATCTCGTTTTCTTAAAACAAAATCCAAACTGAAACAAGTTTTATTGGGTTTGCAGAAAACCTTTCCAGCACTTCCTTCTCAAATTCCTCCTTTTCCCCAAGGCACTTTTTCTGTGCACACTCAGTAAGCATAGCCCATGGAGACGATCCCCTGTCATCTTGGAACTTAGGCAGGTCTTTACTCTCTGAAAGGAACCGAATTACGGCTTTAGGTTCAAGGGGTGATTTGCTGAGCAAGAGAGAGGGGCAGAGCCCTTTTCATGGTAGGATAAAAGATTTCTGCCTATTTTACCAGGCCTACTATTTCATTTTCAAATATTCTGATTATTTCTATTTTTAATTATATTTTTTATTATTATTTACATGATTGAGGGGTGCAGCTGCCCCCCCTGGCTATGCCCATAATGTTATTGGTAGAGCACTTGCTTTGAGATGTTCTTGGGTTCAATCCTTGGCATATCCAAGTCCCTTTTGGAGAGATGCTGCCAGTCAGGGGAGTCAGCGGGACCAGGCAGCTCAATATATGGGGCCGGGAAAAGTCCGTAGCTTAGGGTTAAAACCCCAGAAAGTCCCAGGTCCAATCCCCCAACATCTCCAGCTTAAAGCATCTCAGGTATACAGAACAACAAACCCCTGTGTTGCAAACTTAACACAACAAACAGCACAAGCAACACAAAGACCAGTATACTAGATAGCACTGTAGTTCTTACTACATTATTTAGTACAACAAAAACAAAATGTGTACACTTGTAAATTCTCTAATATATCTGAAAACAAATGAACACACGTCTGTCAATCTTTGAAAGTCCTGTAGAAGTACAGTGGTACCTCAGGTTAAGTACTTAATTTGTTCCAGAGGTCCATACTTAACCTTGAAACTCTTCTTAACCTGAAGCACCACTTGAGCTAATGGGGCCTCCTGTTGTTGCTGCTGCGCCGCCGGAGCACGATTTCTGTTCTCATCCTGAAGCAAAGTTCTTAACCTGAGGTACTATTTCTGGGTTAGCGGAGTCTGTAACCTGAAGCGTATGTAACCTGAGGTACCACTGTATAATGAGTCTATGGTTGAAACAAAGTAATAGATGCTACCCTGTGGGCTAAGCGGTAAAACTTTTTAGTCGTTACATATCCTTATGACCACTGCTCCTTGTGCATTTTTCTAATCTCTGTGTTGTGCTGAAGAAGATTCCAGCGAAAAAGTCAGATTATCCGGGATAATTCACTTACTACTTCGGCACCATGAACGCCTAAAGGGTTTTACCGCTTAGCCCACAGGATAGCATCTATTACTTTGTTTCAACCATAGACTCATTACAGTGGTACCTCGGGTTAAGTATTTAATTCGTTCCGGAGGTCTGTTCTTAACCTGAGGTACCACTTTAGCTAATGGGGCCTCCAACTGCCGCCACACGATTTCTGTTCTCATCCTGAAGCTAAGTTCTTAACCCGAGGTAATATTTCTGGGTTAGTGGAGTCTGTAACCTGAAGCGTCTGTAACCTGAAGCGTCTGTAACCCGAGATACCACTGTATATGGACTTTCAAAGATTGACAGACGTGTGTTCATTTGTTTTCAGATATATTAGAGAATTTACAAGTGTACACATTTGGCTATTGTTGTACTAAATCATGTATATTATGTAATAAGAACTACAGTGCTATCTAGTATACTGGTCTTCATGTTGCTTGTGTTGTTTGTTGTGTAAAGCCTCTCAGGTAGCAGGTAGTGGAGGAGAAACCTCTTACTGAGCCCAGGTGAGCTGCTGCCTGCCAGAGCTGACACTGCTGGAGCTAAAGGGGCAAGTACTTTGACTTGGGAAAAGCAGCGGATACCAGTGGGGCCCTTCGCTGGTGCTGAGCACCTGCCTTCATGCAGAAGGTGCTGGTTTCAGTACCCAGTATCTCATGTTAAAAGGATGAGTAGCAAGTCAGGGGAAAAACTGAGGCCCTGGAGAGCTTCTGCTAGCCAGAGTCGACAGTACTGGGCTAGGTGGGCCATCATTGATTCTAGGTAAGGCTGCCTCTGCGTGTAAGGATATGTCCGCAGTTCAGTGGTAGTGAATCTGCCTTGCAAGGTCCAACTCCCAGTGGCATCTCCGGGTTCGGCTGAGAAAGGATCCCTGCCTAAAATACGAGAGAGCTGCTGCGGGCCAGTGTTGACAGTGCTGAGTTAGATGGACCAACAGCCCAACTAACTCAACATAAGGCAGATTCCCTGTTCCTGATTCTGCCACTACCAAAGGGCAATGTCAGGGACTGGCAAGACACAGGTGATGATGGGGATGATTTTATTTATATCCCATGCCCATCTGATGAGTGTGCACCGGGGGGAAGGAGAGTAATTTGTGGGGGCCTGCACTAGCCAGGAGGCAAGAGGCAGAGGCAGGGGGAGCTTCAGAGCTGGAGCACTGGAGGGATCAGAGGAAGAAGCAAGTTGGGTGCCTCCCCATCCTCTCCTGCACCACTGTCTCCCAGAACCAGGAGGGGTGTGAAACGAGATGAGCAGAGGCAACTTCCATGCAGGCGCAGTCTCCAGCTGTGTGCGTGCAGCCCGCTTTCCGGGTCATGTGGCCAGCATGACTCAACCGCTTCTGGCTCAACGGAACCCTGTGACGGAAACCAGAGTGCACAGGAACACTGTTTACCTTCCCGCCAGAGTGGTGCCTATTTATCTACTTGCACTGGCATGCTCTCGAACTGCTAGGTTGGCAGGAGCTGGGACAGAGCAACGGGAGCTCACCCTGTTGCAGGGATTCAAACCACCAACCTTCCGATCGGCAAGCCCAAGAGCATGGGTAGGCAAACTAAGGCCCGGGGCCCTGATCCGGCCCAATCACCTTCTAAATCCGCCCCGTGGATGGTCCAGGAATCAGCATGTTTTTACATGAGTAGAATGTGCCCTTTTATTTAAAATGCATCTCTGGGTTATTTGTGGGGCCTGCTTGGTGCTTTTACAAAAGTAGAATGTGCCCTTTTATTTAAAATCCATCTCTGGGTTATTTGTAGGGCATAGGAATTCATTTATTATTTTTTTCAAAATATAGTCCGGCCCCCCACAAGGTCTGAGGGACAGTGGACCAGCCCCCCTGCTGAAAAAGTTTGCTGACCCCTGCCCAAGAGGCTCGGTGGTTTAGACCACAGCGTCATCCGCGTCCCTTATATTTGGAACTGTAGACATGACTGTGCCAACTTTGACAATGAAGAGTTAACTAACAGCCATGTGCATTCCTTTGGCTGGGGAGCACCCCTGACAGCTGGTGCAATCCTGCCCTTGCTAGTTAAACCCTGTTAGATCCCATCCTCCATTACAGCCCCTGGTTAAGGCTTCAGTCCTTGGGAGGGAAATTCAATTGAAAGCAGCAGCCTTTGAACAGACTTGCCTGGAAATGGCATTGAGCATCTCTCTTGCTGAAATCAATCAGACCCCAAAGTATCCCAGTTGGGACAGATGGGGCCTGTTTGCCTCTTGCGGCCTGGTCTTAGCAATGCAGCAGCGCTAAGGACAGCAGAATCACCTTTCTGGATGAGACCAGCTGAGATCCACCACACTGCAACCACCCCCTTAGTCGTACAGGAGCATTTTGGCCGGACGGATGCTGGCAGCGGCTATGACTCCAAGGCTAATGATAATAAATTGGGAATAGGAATAATAATAATAATAATAATAATAATAATAATAATAATTATTATTATTATTATTATTTATACCCCGCCCATCTGGCTGGGCTTCCCCAGCCACTCTGGGCGGCTTCCAAAAAAATATTAAAATACTGTAATACATCAAACATTAAAAGCTTCCCTAAACAGGGCTGCCTTCAGATGTCTTCTAAAAGCCTGGTAGTAATTGTTCTCTTTGACATCTGAAGGGATGGCATTCCACAGGGCGGGCGCCGCTACCGAGAAGGCCCTCTGCCTGGTTCCCTGTAGCTTTGCTTCTCGCAGTGAGGGAACCGCCAGAAGGCCCTCGGCACTGGACCTTAGTGTCTGGGTAGAACGATGGGGGTGGAGACGCTCCTTCAGGTATACTGGACCGAGGCCGTTTAGGGCTTTAAAGGTCAACACCAACACTTTGAATTGTGCTCGGAAACGTACTGGGAAGGAAGCAGATCAGAGGAAGAAGC